ATGCAATAAATATATATATTCATAAAGACTTCAGTTCCATTAAGGCTTTACTATCAATAAACAAGGAATATAAAGTTTATATTCTGCTAAATGCGGAGGAAACAATTTCCTTTGTAGAAAGTTCTCTAGCCAGAAGGCAGCTCAGAAAAAAAATCCTTTAGGCTCAGCTTCTTCCTCCCCTCCCAGACTCACTTTCACCTTTGTTCTGATCCAGCCATAATGCAACTTCATCTGATGCTGGAAGTGAGGTATTTTCCTCTTTATGGTAAACAAATGATCTCACAACCACAGGACCATTATTGCACTGCACAACAAGAGGGTATCTGACGCACAGAATGAAAGTTATCCTTCAAACATAAACAGGAGAAATAATTGCAAAAGTAAAACAGATGAACAACCACATAAATTAATTCCTTCTTGAATCACTGTTCCTGTTGTCCAAGTCCAAATGATTCTCTTTTCCTATTTAGGAACCCTGAGGGGATGAAAAAATATCCAAGATGGTGAAATTAAAAATTAGCTATTGAGCATGAAACACGCAATGACTGCACTTCATAACGCTTTTATTGCCTCGGTGTTGTATGAATCACTTCAGAGTTCCACACTGTTATGATGAAAAAAATGACACCAATAAAGTCTGAGCAATTGATGTTATGACTTCATCAATCCGAGACTAAATGCACGCACAGAATGACAAATATTTTCAAGAGTATGGAGAAAGCTACCACCTCATTCTGAGCAGGCACAAGTTGTGTCTTTGTGTCCTTCAGAAGAGAATTCTCATGTCAGAAAGATGGAATATTGAAATAATCCTCAATACAGCTCCATGTGACACAACCTTGCTTTCCCTTTCTGAAACCAGCCAGATTTGGTGTTCTCAAGAGCGATGAACACAACTAATACACAGTGAAGCTACAGCTAATACACAATGTTCCCAATTCACTCAATTCCCTCAGGTTCTGCTTCAAGATTGTATCATTTTAACAATGAACTGCACTTAGCTTTAATTTTTAAAAGTCTATAGATTCTGGAAGTATGAAGTAGAATTATCTTTACAATTTCACTAAATCCCAAAAAGTTCAATTTATTGCTACTTAAACCTTCCAAGAGGATAATAATCTCTGCTTAAGACAACAAAGCAGCCATCACAGTAATCTCTCAGATACAACATCAAAGGTAAGGTGCAAAGAAGTGACCTCACACAGGGAGAACGCACCTGCTTTTGGCAGCCAACAACAGCTAACCAATGCAACCTTGAATTCCTACTTAGAGTTCAACTTTGATATAAGTATTTTGCTGTTAAAAAAAAAAAAAACCCTCTCATCTCTGTAAAGCACCAGTAAATCCAAACCTGTTCTGGAACAGCAGAAATTAACAATTTTTTCCCCCTCTCTAATAAATACTAGCTTTCTTTTTTTAATTGAGTGGTTAGATTTCCTGACTCAGGTATTAAAGTCCCTGGTAGGATTCTCTCCTTTAACACAATAGCTCATATCCCTTATAAAATCACTAATAGAAAATAAAGCCCTTTTTGTTAACTCTAATCTTGCTTCCTTGCAAGTGTGCCAGAGGCACTTTAATATGGATCAGATCATGAATATCACAAATTACTGCAGCAATGTGTGGCAACAGAAGATCAGATTATTCATATAACAACAATACCTCCTTCCTGCTTTGATTAAAAAGAGAATAAACTGTCACTTCCTCTTAAATCCATGTCTTTCTGATCCTTACAAATCCAGGTTTACAGTATGAGGTAATGGCACAGCACAAACCTTAGAATGATGAATGAGGGGTATTACAGGGTGCAATAAAACCTACTTCATTTTCTGTCAAAACTCTCTCCTGTTTCTTGTGACATACAGGTATGAAGTTAGCCTAGAGCAGGAAGAAGTTAGTAGGGACTATTTTCTATAAAGTTTCCTACGGCAGATTCACAGCAGACGCAGTAAGAACAAAGCAAACTATGTACAGGCAGGCACAATTATGGAAAAATTAATGTACCAACAAGAACAGCCCTGGCCATAAACGCAGAGTAGGAAAATGAAATGAAACTCACAGTTAATTTATATATCAGTTTTGCAATGCAGAAAAGCACACCCCATTAAAGATCCTATTTTTCTTGGGTATTTCTGGAACACGGAACTGCAGCCTATTTCCCTACTTCAAACAGACACACTGGGAAACAATCATACAACCTTGATGCTGGCTCGTGGGGAGGGAAAGACAAGAGTAATGACCAAATGCAAATATAAAATGTTATTCACACACTCATTACCTCCTGCAGAGCCCCCAGCATGCTACCATACAACCACAGTGTGCAAAAATGGCTTATTATTAGCAAAAAAACTTATTTCCAGTATCCAAAGACTTAGCTCAAGTTGTAACATGGTGAAGAGGTGTTCACCTTCAATATGTCCTACTCCTTTAACAAGACTCAGGAAAGTTTCGAGTGACACCTTGGCCACCACTTGCCCAGTCCAATGGATTTCATAGCCCCCATTGACACTACATTTCAAAGGGATCTGAACTTTTTTGTGCCACCCAAATACCCGTGTTGAATTCAAATGAAAACTAACCTGGGCTAATGAAATCTCCAGGAAAATCTTAATGAAGCTTTCCAAGATATCGTGCCCAAGGAGAACATTTAAATTCTTCAGCAAAATGCAGTATTAACATCTGATGGGATGAGCACGTCAAGGAGAAGCCTTAGAAAGGTGATACTGCTTTTGCAAAAGGAATTAACACCTCTGATTTTTGGGGCCAGGCTGGAGTCCTAACTCTAATTAAATTCTAAGCTGCTTTTTCCAGGTTTCATAAAATGCTGTCTCAAATAGGCTTATCTTCTAAGAAGTACAGCTTGATCTTCTCATTAAAGAATGTGTTACAATGGAAACACATTAGTACTAAAGCCATAAAAGACTGAGGAAATCATGGACATTTTCCCCAAAATAGTGGGTTGCCTTAGTATCATTAAAAAAAATCCCAACCCTGTACATTGACAAGCCTGCCTGAAAAGGGGAAACTTGCTGTTTAAATGTTTTTTCAGTGTTACCTCTATTTGTTCTTTTTAATTAATAAAAGGATACATGTACTGACATTTTAAGCACTAATTTGCTATTTAGCATCCCAAATTAGGAAGCATAAACATTTATGCACTTCATTAAACACTACCTAAGAACATGTTTGATATTAGCAGGAAACAAGGGAGGCTGTTCAAAGAAACTTCAGGGCACGCTGGAAAAACTCTCTTCTGCTCTTTCCACCCCTCACCACAAAAGCTCTGGATCCATCCCACAGGAAGCAGCTGCCGAGAAATGAACCTTGGAAATCAGTGGGATCTGACACCCATTCAACCACACCTGTGGGGCTAAGGGAAGGGGCAAGAATGCAGGTGCACCACTCTGAAAATTTGGTGCTGGCAGCACAGCTTGAGGTTGGTGCAAGGCAGCCCTGAAAGTGGACTTTAGAAAGCATAGAGCAAACAGTTAGGAGTTAAGACATTGATTACAGACAGGTGAAGGACAGGGAGAAACAGCCTGTTTGTCTCATCCCTTCCAAGAGAGGCAGGGCCGTTCTAGCACACCTCCTCCTCTTCCTCTCCCCTCCTCTTTTTTTTCCAGCCCTTTAAAGCATTATGAAATCATTTAGGTTGGAAAATACCTTTACGATCATCAAGTCCAGGCATCCACAGAACCATGTCCCCAAGTGCCACACCTATACCTTTTATCATTTAAATACTTCCCTGCAAGGCAAGTCCAGCACAGCAGCCTGCTCCTTTCCACAGTATCTACATTTACAGGCCGCTGAAAAAGGCTTCACCTCAGGGTGAACCAGTGCTACAGGAAGGTGCTAAGAAATGGGAAGTTTTTTAAAACTACAGGAAACAGAACTGCAGTGGTAGTAGAAAAGAAACAAATCCTGACACTTGGGAACAGGCAGGCTGAAAGGCAGATAATCACATATGTGTGCACAGAATAAATGGAAGGTTAATCAAGATCATAAACCCTCAAAATTCATCAATCCAGACCGCAAGTTCTCTCTAAATTCTGAATGAAAAGAGAATATTTTGGTTCACTTACAGACAATAACATATAGTTCAGATGACAAATTATTTCTAAAAACTTTGCATCGCAAGTCTAACTTCAATGTAGAAAATTATTTTTATTTGTAATTAAAATTTGTGCTAAAAGTGTCCATTGTTAAATTATGGACCCAAACAAAGTTGTACTAAATTTTCTACTGTACATATTCTTGCCATAGTGTGGCAATTTTAAAATTGTTTCAAAGTACAAATACACTAAAAAGGTAATATTTCAAGAACAATAGTATGGACACACTGAGGAACTTTATACCACAACCAGAAATCTGAAGTGTATTGGTCCCTGACAAAGAACTGGTTTTAGATTTATTTATTAAAATGAATTACCATGATTTTACAACTTACAGCTTTGGGTTCTTTGTTGTTTATTGTTTAGTTTTCAGTTTTTTTAACTGTGATGGTAATAGTGATCTACCTACAAGATAATTGAAAAAGAAACGTTCTTTGTGTATTTTTGATCAAATATATTGTTAGAGATCAAAACAAAGATTTATAAAAACAAACGATTGAAATTTCATTTCAGAAAAAAACACTTCGTAAAATACAGCAAAATCCTTTTCAATAGCAAAGTGAATTTTGTACAGTTCTTCCTTCTAAGCAGATGTTTTACTGCAGCTGAGATCCACTAACTCCAGTAAAACTCAACGCAGGGCAAATGGGTCGGTGTCCGCAGAAACACAACCAATGCACAACCGCAGGTAACAAACTGCAACTCGCTGGAGAAACCTTGGAAACTTCAGTTTTCATTGTGAGTGAACTTACAGTATATCTTACATTAGTTAAAAGCAGTTTACACCATGACAGAACCGCTCAAAAACGATCAGTTATAGGAAGAGAGCAACGCTTCAATTCAGCTTCTCCCATCAGCAAAAATGCCACACAAATCAAAAACCAACACTTAAGTAAAACACTAAGACTTTATTAAAAATCCAAAATTTATTGCAAATTGTACTTTGCAATTTCCCTCCTTTCTTCATTTTTACATGATTTATTGATATCCATGATTTTTTCACAGATGTACTTGTTGACTTTGGAGAGTCTCTGTGCAATTTCAGTTTCATCCACAGTTTCTTGTGCTATTCTATCATACAAACATTCTGGGGAGAAAAGAAAAAGGAAAGAGTCATTAGGATATTTTTAGAAAACACAATAGCCCCGAGTTGTGCCAACTACCCAAGAGACAGCAGTGAGCAAACACTGTGTATATTTGTTGCAAGACAAGAGAAGCTTTCCTTGATTCACTGTCTATCTTGTTAAAGTCAAGATTTGTCACCAGGCTTGAATCAGTGGCATGACAACTTCCAGTTATGCTGTGACTACATTAATAGGCTTTCCATACAGAAACAAGGCTAAACCCAACCTTTTACAGTGCCAGCCTTGCCTGCCTCCCTCCTGCATTTGTCTGAATCTCCACAGCAGATTTAGTCTCTTCCCAGGTGAAGTGTCCCACCCTCTGGTGGGACACTCCCACCTTCACCCCTTCAGGGGGGTATGGAAATGACAATGCTCAGGAAGAGAAGCATTAACCAGCAGGAGAACACTAACTCATTTATTTCATTTTTCATATCGCTTCCACATACATTAATGTCCATGTCTTTATCATCTGCCCTGTCCCTGGGCTTATTTCACTTTTACTGGTAGATTATTCAGGACAAGTGCCATCTCCTTGCATGTTTGATCAATACACTTTCTGAAATACACATTATCTGGAATACAAAAAGCCAGTGATAGCAATAACTGCAAAAGCAATGTGGGCAGTGAGACAATTTTTCTTCCCAGATTTGGAAGTTTGGTGCCAGAATCCTGCAGAATTTACTGAAATCTGAAGTAGTGCAACACACACAACTCCTTAGTGAACAGGCAGGTTTAGGGTTTTTTGGTTTTCATAAACAGACCAATGTATTTTGTTGTGTAGGCTTCCCAGACTGGTTAAACAAACTGTTCTGCTTTGCCTAGTGATCTATTCCATTAGCTGTTTATTGCTTCATATACAGAAAGCCATAGAGATTATTGCTTAATTAATGTGCTTTACAACATTTCTAATGCACCATATTAAAAAGTTATGAAAATTAAGTACTATGCATGCTTTGTAGTTCATTTGGAAACCTCTGAGAAGTTTTATAAAAGGTTATTTTGCATTAACAAGGTTTATAACAGTGCACATCCATCATACTTTTTATCATTTCTTTATTACATACTACACAGTGGGGATATTTAATAAGCTATAGAGATATCAGACACATTAAGAGCTAATGTTGTCATTCAAAAATCTATTTTAAATAAGTTAGTCTGTGTCCACAGAATGATGAGAACATCTAAAGCAATGTGAATTTTATGTTGTAAGATGTACTGAATATAAAATAAATGAAATTAACCAGCATGCAGCCTGATAGCTGAAATGCTGATCATCTGTAAACTATGATTGGAAATACAACACCTAAGAAAAGGCACATCACTGGGAGCCTGAAGAAAGGCAGTCTGTTTGCAGGGCATAAGCTGGCCCTGCAAGAGTGTCAGGAACACTCCCAGGCAGATACACCCAGTAAGGTGAACTCCCATGAAAGACAGGCTGTGTTGTTCATTTAGCCACAAAGCCAAGCACAGAATCACCTGACAGAACTCACTCAAAAGCTGTTATTTTAATAGTTGGTGCGAACCAGACAGATCCTCGATCACAGTTTTTCCTCTCCATCTCGTCCACTTTTGTGAGGGGGTGCAGAAGTAGTAGTTTAGTACTTGCATATGGATACTGGCTTAGGGCTTCAAAGAGTAATTTGGAGGTTTTGCTCCCTTGTCTTTTGGCTTTACAGGAGCACAGAGACACCTCTTTGTACTGCTGAATACCAAAAATTCAAGCAGACCTCAAAGGCTAACCAGGAGCTTCACCTGATCCAAATCACTGGCTATGGAAAACTCCCTCAAATCTCAACTATTTGTCCCCTTGCTGGTCATTTCTTTGTTTTGTTTTGCTTTCTTCTCCATGGGGGGCAAGACCTGTTGACACTGACGCAAAGGACACAACAACATGGAAAAAGGTGGTTATGAGCTACCCAGTCCCACTGATACAGGCAGCCTGACACCTGCAACACTGGCCATGCAGTTTAACTGGTTCAAGAGGAGACTGTACAGGCTGGAGTCTAACAAAAGGGAAATTAGAGACAAGGTGAAAGAAACACTAAAAAGAGGAACATGGAAAACCAGGGCATGTAACAGTAGAATTCAAATGAGGGTTGAGGCTTGAAGCAGAAGTATGACAGAAAACAGAAAAACGAGGAAATAGGGAAGAGCTGAATTGCTGGTGAGTGTGAAGGTATGGAAGAGAAGAAAGGGAAGGGCCCCATCTGCCTCTCATCATGTACCTGTCAGAGCAGACTCCCAAATTCACTGTAGCCAAAACAAGGGGAGTTAGAAGAAAGTTGTCATTTAAATGGCTCGAGTAATATAGAGTAGCCCTGACAAAAGCAGAAGAGGAAATTCTCACAGAAACAACCTTGCCAGCAGCACTGAGGAGCAAAAGCCTCCAGCAGGGAAACTGGAAACCACATTGCAACGGGCCAGTGGAAAATAACCCCCTTGTGCTGCGTGCTTGTAAACGCACACCAGGGCAACCAATTCTGCTTCTGCATCTGGAGCTGCCAAGGGGAGCCACTGCCACAGAGTGGATTCCTTATGTGGCCAGTACCTCAATGCTCAGCTACATGTGTAAGGATTGTACCTAAAAACCCCAGACAGAACTAGAAAATCAGCATGGAACAGCTTCCACTTCCACATATAATCTTGAAGCAGACTAGTGAAAAAAAACCCCACGTCCTTTACTCTTTTCTTATAAACTAAGGAAGATGACAGCACGGAGATAAGTTTCCAACTTCTCCCCACACAACACAGATGCAGACACACGCACACACTCAGAGAGGAACCGTATTTCTTACTCCGAAACATGGTACTTTCATGGTCAATTACACCACCTCTTAATGAGTTCACAGTTAAGAGCACATAGCAACTAATAACAGGAAATGCAGAATAATGAAGCTCTACCAAATGGAGAGGTTTCTTTCAGCCCTACTGCAATTTAGTATGGACACAAAACCTAAAAATCCAATTTCAGTATGTATTCCATGAGGAAACAACTCAGTTCTGACTTAAACAGAAGCCTGAAATACCACGAGAGACAGAAATGATGCAACACAGGCATGATGATACAAAGGGACTGAAATTCACCGTTCAGTTTAAATAAAGAAGAAGGCCTTCTCCCTCTCAAAGTACTACACACATGGACTCAGGCTTGCAGTTACTGAAAGTGCCATTGCAATTTTCCCTACCAGATGAGGTCAGCGATTTACACTTCCTGTCCAAATTCCAATTCAAGTGCAGCAATTAATTTTTACTATTTCCATTTTCTTCACTTAAAAGGGTAGAACTATTCTTTCTTGCCTTTGAAGGTATTTTTATAGTCACAGCTATAATGGTTTCTGTGCCTCATGCCAGAGCTGGTTATGTTCTGGATAAAAGAATGTCATAAAGCTACTCTCAGCCTTGTTTAAAGGAATATATGCACTTTAAAAAATCAGCATGTTACAAATGAATTCTAGAACAACATGTTGTTCTCCAGGCTCAGAGTCCTGCCCTGCAAGTGGGCTAAAGTGAAGATCTTTTCAAACCTTACTTAAGTCAATGTACAACTCTTCAGCTGTGGAAGCCTGCACTGTGCACAGCTATTGCAATGTGCTTTACTGTTCCTGGGTATGTATGCACTTCACAATGCAATAGCAATCTGAATTACAGTTTTTAATCAGTTAATTTTAAATGAGCTGAAAAGAAGCATCTTTCAACTCGGTGATTAATGGTTAAACTCCAAAGCAGGAAGCAAAAGTTTTCAAATAACCTACCTCTGACAATGCTTAATTTGTGAGGTGAGAGAGGTGGCTTGGGAACGGCATCTTTCTTTTTTTTGGTTGCAACTCCTGTGACACTTCTGTTCTTGAGAACATCTGTTCCCCAAATCATAACCGCTAGATTTTTTGTATACTTTGAATCTCCTTGTGTTACTTGCAGCTGGTGCCATTTCTCCTCATCTACCCAAATTCCACTGCCAAGATGGACCTAGAAGGTAGTAATAATAACAACTTATCTATGGTATGTAGCACACAACAGTATCCAAGTGCTAGGAACATTAATATTAGGAACTAAAATAACAGTAATTAGGGCTGAATAAATCCATTTTGCCTAACTCTGAAACTTTACCGACTTTGTGGGTCAGGGAGTTCAAGTCAACCTCAATATATAATATAGTTCCTTTTAGTAATCCCTACTTTTCCCCCCCACATAACCTCTCTCCTGAAAGACTGTGGTCAGGAACAGAGATCGAAGAAGGAAACAGTGAACACATCCAGTATTATATAATTATGCACAGCATATAAACCAAGCAGTTGCACCAGCCTAATTCAGGAGCAAGATGAAACACTTCCCTTCGGCTAAAACAGACTTTACCCAAAGCACATTCCAGAGGCAGTAGAGATGGAATTACTTCCTAAGTTGTATTCTGTACCTGTTGGCAAGACCCAGCCTGATTGTTTGAAGTAACTGGAAGGGGAGAAAGGATTTTGAGAGCTCCAATTTCAATATAAGCCACAAGAGTTTGGAAGCTTTGTAAAACTTCCAGTTCTAACACAAAGGGTGTCTATCATGTATGATCAATGTGAATACACCATATGAATACTGTTTTGTGATTAGGCAATGACCCATTGCAGCAACATCATAAACTTTCCATCATCCAAACAATGGGAAGTCAAGGTATTTCACTGAAGTACTAAAGCAGGATAACATGGGTACTGGGAAATGCAGTGTGAAGCCACTGGAGAGTGTCCAAAAGGAAGATGCTCAAGTTTGGTGTTGCTTATTAGTCTTGCTCAGCACTGATTGTCTCCCACAGGGCAACCCTATGTCTCTACTCCAAGATTCCCAGTGCTCCAGTTTTAAGACAAATGCCAGACAAGAATCTGAGCACCATCCTTGGCTGCCACTACGTGTTTGAGCTGCCAGCCCTGACACTCAGGACACCTTCCAGCACCAGCACAGAGGTAACTCCAAGAGTAACCAGCACAAGCCTGACACAAGTGCAACGAGGACACACACGCTGGCCCTGCATGGAACCACAAATACTTTGCACCCTGTATGTCCATGCTCCAGTTCCTGGAGTACACTGCAGACTCCTGAATTACCTCTGCACACAGAAAGCTTTGTTCACATGGTGATGGACTTCACTCACTGGGACACACACTTGCTCCCATCCTAACAAGGTGTGACCTACACCTCCCAGCTGCTGATCACAGCTCACTGCTCTTACCTTCAGACAATGTGGACAAGTGCAACATACCAAACAATTGGATTGCTAAATATCCAAAATCTAGCTTTGATTAGATGCGGTCCAATGGGGGTTCTTTCTATAACATTAACACTTAAAACTAACTTTCGACCTTATGATTAAATAAACACCATCAACAAAATCCCACAGCGAAACTGCATCAGAAGAGTGTTTGCCTTAACTGCTCTGCTGTTAGTTTTCTGTGGTTTTACTCAATTCATCTGGCTTTAAATAAACTGTGCCTGCTACCCATACAAATCTGAGCAGTATCATGGAAGTCTCATTAAATGCTATGAAAATTGGACAAAGCTACTGTAAAATTTTATATACCCAAGATTTTACTGCTTGTATTCAACTCAATACCATTTTTCCTTTAAATGGAAACCTGCTTTAATTATTAATGAGGACTATAACCTCAAGAAATTTTTTATTACAACAGCATCCTTCAAAAGCAACTAGATGTTTAAAAACTTAAATAGAGTAATATGACTGGTTTGACTGCAAGCTATGTTATATTAAAAAAAGAAAACTCTACCTTCCTTAAAGCATAAAACCATGCAGCAAGCTGACTCTCCTGCAGAATCTTTTACACTACAGGGATTCTAAGAAGTTTTTCACAAGTCTGCATGGACAAAAATTAAACTAGTAATAACCACAACACAAATACTCTTTTTTTTCCCCTTTTTCTCTGCTGTTGAGCCTCTTCATAAGTGATTTTTTAAAAGGTACACTCTTTTTGGTGCTCTCTACATATTTTGTAAGGCAACTTCAATGAGAAGTAAGCAGTCTGTACTCAGAAAATAATCTCAATACATTTCTAAATTCAGTTATTTATGGTTAGATCTTGGAAAAATTATTTGGGAAAATGTCTGAAAGTTACCTAGAAAATAAGTAAGATTAGAAATGTTGTGACATAGCAAATTTTGGGTGTCTGTATTACATTAGTTGTACAGATTGTTGTATTTCATCAAAAATCCAATTCCTATCTGCCAAAATAAGGGTTTGCCTTTGCCAAAGATTATTTAGTCTCTAAAGCTACTACATTATTCATTAGCTTGAAGTGACTCAAAATAAAAGTTACAGGAAGTATTTTTAATATTTATGCTTCAGACAGATCATCTCTTCTTTTAACATGCTTCATTTATTAAAAAACCAATTGCTGGTATGAAACACCTATGGCAACAGCAACTATGTGACAGACAGCCACAGCCACAGCAATCTTACATCTCCCTTCTTCTATTTCTAGCACTGTTACGGTGAGGAATTCCATCTGCCTGTGTCTCAGTTTACCTCTCTGCAACAGGCCCGGCACTGTTTCCTATCAGTCCCAAAGCTCCGGGAAGTTTACTGTACTTCACACTCAGAGGACATTCCCTTCTTGCTGGAAGAGCTGCCCCATGAGCCAGACTCTTGTCTTGATGAAATCAATGGGAAATTTACTCCCAATTTCAGCAACTGTGGGATCAACCTTCAAGCACAACGCAACAGAGACGGCAGCGAATTCAAAGCAACGCTCACCAGCGCGGCTGAGCTAACATCTGCAACAGATCTAAAACGTGTCTCAGAAGATGAACTCTTTTTTTTTTTCCCCTTTCTTCTTCTTTCTTTCCTTTAAATGAATGCCATAGGCTCTTTTTCAGTGACTTGGTTTTCCCTCTGGAGGGAAGAGATTTATCTGCTCTGAAAGAACCCTACTAAGATCAAATCTGGTGCCACAAAGGGTAAGATTTGTAAAAAAAGTATTTCGACTACTCTAGTGGTGCATATCAATAAAGGAATACTGAAATAAAGCCACAAACAAGGAAACTGAAGAAAACTACCCTCCAACACTGCAAATACATTATTAGTTCACATTTTTATCATCTGAGCTGTCTGTAGACCCAGTAAATAGGCAAACCAAGAACCAAAATTACAGAAAGAAAATTAAAGAGATACTAGTATCTGTTAAGACAGAAAACTTCAGCAAAAGAAGTGCCAAGAAGCTGACAGATGAAAAAAGGGTGCAGGAAAAGCTGCATAGAAATACTAAAGGATGTGTCCTATCCCATAGACCTTAAGTGGAAGAGAAGGAGGTAAAGGAAACTCACACAGTAATACACCCTAAGAACTCATTGCAAATTTACACAAAATAATCAAGCAAATGACGTATTTAAATATATTAGGCAAGAAAAGCTATCTGAACCAAATACCTGTCAAACTGTCAAGATTCTACTATTTTTCAAGTATATTCTGTCCTCAATGAATATGTTGAATTTTTCTTCAAGAGGGACAGACACGGTGCAGTCAATCTTCTAACACAAATCAGAAAATGCAGTTTCATGCTATATTTCATCAGCAATTCAACAGCACAGCAAAGCTGGAATGGATGTTTCCTCCCTAAAGATTCTCAGGTTATGGTACCAAATGCATCTATATACACCAAGAAACAGGATCTGCACAGGCAATTCTGAAGGAATTACAATTTTGTATAAGAAACATCACATTTATTTAATGATAATGAAAACAGCTGTAAAAGCAGGCCTAGGTAGATGAGCAGTTAATGTGTTAAACACACTGAAATCTGAAAAGCTCTCAGTCAGGTACTGGCAAACTAGAGCTAGATGGTATTTCAGCAACTTCACAAAGTCTCTGGAAATTAGCACTACATCAGCTCAATTCAGTGGCAACACCCCTACCAGCAGCAAGGGAGCCCATTTTCCTTCCGGGGTTCATAACTACCTCCTGCACTCCAACCCAAACATGAGGGCTTCTCTGCAATACGGCCACAGCACATTATAAACGTTAAAAACCTTTTAGGAAGAAGTATTTTGGTTAAGTGGACTCATGTAACTCTATAATGTGGGTTACTGACTTTGGTCAATATTTGGTCTATTTATGGATGACACCAACTGAAGACTATGTCAATTTGCCTGTGCATGAATATTTATTTAGTAACTATATTCCTCATGTTGTACAGCACTCAATGCTCTCACCACTGAAGATACTTTTCTAGGCTCTTCATATCTGTGTAACTTCACAATTCTCAGCACAACAGCATACCTGCATGAAAACTGAGGAAGCTTCTACAAGCTGCTACCATGCAAAACCCCCACAATCAATGAAAACTCCACAAGAACATCACCAGATGGACATTTAAAAATGATTCATGCTATATTTAATATAAAATACCTTTCCATTCTCGAGAATATACTTGTCCATTACTGGAACAGGGGCAGGGAAGTACGTTGATGTATTTGCTTCCTCACTGAAGGTCTTCTGTACCTCAGGTTCGGGCTCAATTGATTCAGGTTTTACTTTTTCAACCTCAATGGCAGGTCCTAGACAGTTAAGAAAAGAGAGCTGTCTGCTATCCCAGAGAACATTAAATCAATCCCTTCAGCACCCATGATTAGCATAAAATAACATATTAGTCATGTTCATTTTAATGTTAGAAGTAATCGAAACCAAAACCCTACTTCTGAACACCAGTAACTAAAAGCAGGATAAGTATTCCTGCTTTATCAACATTAAAATGTTTAATTTTAATTTAAGTGTTTGATTTTATTCCTAAAGCATAAGGACAATTACAGATATGGGTAAGATTTTCTCAATGCACACTAAGAAAATTATGTTAAAATGACATTGGAATTATAAACCAAAAGCAACAATAGTAATTCTCAAATAAGAATTGCTATATAGTTGCATAGGAACCTGCATAATTTACTGTGATAATTACAGAAATTATCCACACAGAATTACAAATATTATAGAAATCCAAAATCTCTTTAGATGTAACAGAAGTGTATTAAAATAGGGAGGATCTGCAGAAATGCTATGAAGGAAACAGACTTAGGCTCTTTATGCTGAAGTACCATGCAGAGAAAGAATATCAAAGGTTAAAAAACCCCACATAAATTAGGATTTTGATTGTCTAATTCATTCAACACTGATTTTTGTTTTTAATCAACAAAAATTATGCACAAATTAAACAATGGAATACTGCTAAGCATAGGTTTGAGACTTTAAAGGGGGATAGTTATTTTGTTAGTTATCAACTTTTCCAGATCGAAGTTATAAAACATTCCTAAAAGGACAGAAGAACAAACTAAAAATAATTTGTGAACTGGATTTCATGACTCCATTCATTGCAGGGGTTCCACCAGAAGTCAAGGCTATGGCCCAAAGCCTATCAGTGTCCCTTGATGTGTGGCTCTAGGATCCCAAGAAGCTCCAGCAGGCACTGAAGTTCCATGCAGGGCCGGTGGCTCCACAGCACAGCAAGTTGGACAACACAGTTGGACAACTCTGGACACCATGGAAATACCTCATGTCCAGAACTCTAAGGATAAACTCTTGTCTAAACCACTTGTCAGTGCTAGATTGTCCCAGGCTGGTGCTGAGAGCACTGCACCACCCTGCAGCCCAACCCTGACATCTTCAGCCAGTGACAACCCAATCATCAGTCAGGTCACCCCTCAGCTCCCTGTTCAGTGTTTGTGCACACAGACCCAGCCCTGAACTGATCCAACTCTGCAAGTCACACTGGCACCACAACTCAGGTCTTAGTCATGCATCTTAAATAGTTCTGTGCCTGGAACAAGCACAGCATTCATCCCTCCTACTTTGTGCAGTTTCATTTAGAGATTATTATACAGCAACAGCAGTGCTTCCTCCGTTGTCAGCATTTGACATTTATCCTATAGCTTATCCTACACCTACATAGCCAGCTAAATGTTCTCAGCTGGCTGCCACTCCACGCTCACCAATGACTAAAAGTTGTCTTGGCAACTCAGACAATCCTACACTGCAGTGCCACCAACAAGAGGGTCTTAAGAGCCAGCCCCAGTGCAAGCATGGCACAAACAGAGAAATCACAAAACATCCCATTTGCATTATAATTTCATAGTGATCTTAGTAAGCACCTCTAGTACCATGAATATACATCAGTGCAGCCAAGACAAACTGAACTTCCTAAACTTGAGACTGTAAAGCTGATTCAGACTGGAGGAAGACCTGGACTGGTTAAACACTCAAAGCTTGCCCACAGCATGGGCACAGCTGAACAAGCAGATGCAGGAATGTAATTGCCAGTGTGACCTTAAGAAGTCATCTCTGAAGCTGTTACTTTACATTCTTCAACAAAGGGCTATTTTCTTATACTTTGAAAGTCACTTTGAGGGAGACACCTAAGTATAACCACCTTCTTCCTAGCAGGAAACGTTTATTTCCCTTTAAAAACTTTTACTACTCCCTATTTAGAAGTCTTTTACTGTTTTTAGTCGTATATTGACACAGCTGGAATTTGGTTTCCAGAGCCCCAAGGAAAAAGCTGATTAAAGTCCACAACAACCACAGCTCTCATAGGTCAGAATACCTCTGCTCCAATTCATGCTTTAACTACTTGCTTAGATGTCACCAAAAGAAAACCTTTAAAATCTCCTCTTTATATCCTGATTTTTGATTCCCAAACAGAAACCTGCCTCTAACCAGGCAGTCTCCACAGACACTTCCACAACCACTAAACTCTCCATTTTCAACCCTGCATGCTGTGAATTGCACATGCAACCTGCACTCCTGCCTGCCTGCCAACAGAGTGGTGTGCCCCATCCACCACACTCCAAATTCCCCCTCTCTGCATCTTATTTTAAAGATGATGAATGGGACATATAAAAATATATACCTCCATCTAAAGGCTTAACAATGACAGCACTTATGTAATAAGGATCAGGGAAAAAAAAAAAAAAAAAAAAGACGATTTTCAGAATGTAAGAAGGAAACAAATGTTTTATTGCAAAATCTTTCTCCTGACTGCAGTTTTTTTATAATATCCAAGAGACCAGCAAATTCAGATCAGGATGAAGAGGTAGAAGGCTTCCCTTTACCATCCCTTTTCCTCAAAAATTCACCTTAGGCTACATGCTACTCCTAAAATTAGTAAGAAAGTAAAAACAAATTGACTGATAAAGCGTCAGCATACATTTGTAAGCAAGTAAGTTTTTGCACACGGTCTACCAGAATTTGAAACAAAACAACACAAGACAGAGAAGTGGTAATACTGGTACCTCCTGTACTTGACAGAAACCTCGGGCCCTTTTTTTTTTTAACATCAAAAAGCCAAACAAATGTAGAAAAGCTGAAAAACAGTAATTCCTGACATGTGGTAAGACACAAATCCCATTTCATTCTCCCTACACTGGTGTCAGTCCCAAGACACTGTAAACTGGATCACTGAAATTCAACTGGGATTAAAAGTAAAACCTTGGGGGTCTGTGTGCACATGCTGATGAATCAATGTTTCTGAATGAATGTGAATACACTTCCTGACTTTGGAGCAACACTAATTCTCAGCAATATAATATGAAAATGAAGAAATTATCAGGGAGCTAAAAACACCCAACCGTTATCCCTATAGAACTTCAGTACTGACCATATTTCCAGCCACAGGGAATGACACAGATCTTGCCCAGGAGACAGCTATTTTTTTAAAGAAGTAATTGAAATTCTTCTTTTGCAATCCAAGGGCTATTTAAAGTCCCTACAGGGGAGAGTCGGTTATTTAATTCTTTAAATTATCTTACCCTCTATTGAGAAAAAGATGGCAAATTAGGTGTGTTTTCAGGTGCAACAAAACAAACTGCAAAGGCCTACAGCTGCAGGGCTTCCAGTTGCCCACGTGGGCAAGGCAAGAGGCTGCACACATTATTCCAGGAGCTCAAGAGGAACACCATAACCTTTTCCACAACAGTCACCCCATTCTTCCACTGCTCTGGTTCCCTAGAGCCCTGGTGAAATGCCTGCCTCCCTGTGAAGGGATGTGCCAAGAAATAATAGACTAAAATCATAGAGATAATATTAAGCATTTCTCCATGGCTGCCTCCAAGGCTCTTTTGTGACAAAGAGCAATTCGTGTCACCATGAGGAAGATGAACCTCCTCACTCCTGCCACAAAAGTGGATCCAGTTTAGTAGCAGGGCTGAAGGCCTAAGTCTCAAGTACAATACATTGACTTCCAGCTCCTCACTGAATTCAACACATTGATGGGAAATTAGGAGACTGACTACTTGACTGCACGTTAGCTCAAGAGACTGTTCTATATTTGATCTGCAAGTTTAAAATGGCAACAGGCAAGCATTTCCCACAGCTGCAATTCATCAGCACAAACCAGCTGTCATCTCATGCAAAGAAATCACAAGTCTCTAAGGTGAAACAGAAATGCAATTAGTTTGCATTAAGTCCAGCCTGCTAGAAGTGCAGTGTAACATAAATTACATGTAATTTGAAACTCCAGGTTTAAGAGATCACTGCAACTGCAGATGAATTTAGGATGTAATTTATTTTCAGAACAATTTTCAGAGATTATTCATATACCCAAACATACCTCATTTATAAGCTGGAAAAGTAAGGAAGACTAAAAGAGTCTTTACGTATCTATTCTTGATTAAAAGTAGTACTTTTTCATACTGTCATCAGACTCTCTAATTTAGAACATGCTGAAGATGTCTCCCTTGCTAATTATTCATAAATTTTGTATTGCTCTTTCTAGAACATGGTTGTTTCTCTGCTGTGAATGAGGCTAAAAGGAAAAACAATAGAGTAAGCAACAGTTAATACACTGAGTCTTAGGAAATACAAACCCTGTGAAGGACAAAGCCAGCACGGCCAAATTCCACCTTTACCATCCAATGTTCCTTACAAGGAATATTAACAAGGAATTTTTTTGGAAGTGTTGTATAGCTGATATTTTTCCATATATGTGATTAAATTTAAAGAACTTGTCTTCAATGTAATTGGGATTTGTTTTCAGTTGTCACACTGATACACACAAATAGAAATTCATGCCCAATATTTAGAGAAGATTCAGTATTTTTCTCCCAGGGTTTCTTTTCCTATTTCCTTTTTTTCCCTTTTTCTCTTAACGTTTCTTTATTTGGCTGAAGCAAAAAAAGCGCATCTTCTTTTTCTTAAAGTGAAAGAAAAGAGACAGAATTCAGTAGCTGTCTTCATTGCACTGCTGGTCTCACCACTCCAACTGCTGTCAAGTCTACCAACTAAATTGGTACTTTACGTTGTTCAGCCCCATTGCCTACCAACATCTGGCTCGTGCTCCATTCCCATAAATTCCACCTAACTACTTGCAGATGAAGAAACATCTTTCCATCCAAGGAAAATTTTAGAAAGCTCAGTGGAATCTCCTGCCAACCACATCGTCTTTTTCAGGCTGCGGCAACCTCGCCTATTTAGTTTTATTTAGAAAGTTAACTAGAATGTTTATGGTAAGTAACGACGTTTTAATTGTGCACAGTGTAACAGTGATGCGCATTCACAATCAGACACCCAGTTTAGGTTGTGGGACACTCCAAGAACCTGGCTCCAAGGGTGTGGGCACACCTGAACACATGCTACAGCACAGGCACATGCTCTCCCAGGTCCGGCTCTGAACGTGAGGGTAACTCAGACCCACATGCAAATTGCATGCACTCGTTCCAGTCCAGGAGAAGAGCCAATAAACAACTGACATGCAAAAATTAAGTTTCCAGATACACAAAGGCAGACGTAAGAATGGCATGCTAAGTTTGGATGCATAAATTTCAACCAAGTTTCAGTCACCGAGCAAATCTTCAGCACAGTACCACATTCAAATCGCAAATAAATGCAATTCGTCAAATTTTTGAAGGTATTCCAAGGGTACCATCTTCAGTGAAAAGGATGAACTTTTTATTTTGTCTTTTTTCCCATTTATTCCAACATAATGCTTAAATAATTGTTATAAACCCAAACAAAGGAGCAATTGACCCAAGATATTTAAAACTGAAATCCAAGTTACAAAAAACTGCATTTTGCAACAAGTGTTGATAAACGGGACACTAATATAAAGTCTTTTTAATTAGGCTATTAACAATCCATTGTTTTTCAAATAGCATGGCTTTTTAAAGCCACTGCTAAAACTTCAGGAATATATCACATTCTAATAAACTACTAATGGGAAAAGGGGTCAGAAAATGGAAGGTAACATAGTCACATAACAACAAACAAAACCCCTAACTGCAAAGGATAAATTAGTTTAAGCCCAACTATTCATTCCAGCACCTTTTCTTATCTTGTTTTTTTTTAAACTGGAACATATTGGTATATTTTGCAGATGATGCTTTATTAACTTTTTCAGCATATATTGGAAGGTCAGAGAGTTTTTATAATACAGCTGCTTAAAATGGAACTCTGATTCAGCCATTCCAGCACAAAGACCTCTAGTTTTTAAAGAAAACCCCAGACGTACATAGCATACAAATTCGACACATATTGTACAGCCACAGCAGAAAACCCTTTTAACATTCAATGTCCGGTTTAACAACCACTGCTATTCTTCAAATACATTTCCATTACTATTGATCACACCTGCAAAATTCATTCAAACTAGTCCCACTTAAGTCCGGCACTTACCACTACCTAGTCTTAGGAGCAGTACATCCTGGAGCCTCCTGTTCAAGTCTCTGAGCTCTTTCATTTCTGACACGAGTGCCCCATACTCCTTTAGCTTCTTTGCCTGTTGCACAAGCTGTCTCCGTGTTCTCTCAAGCTCCTGTTGAATGTGTCTCATTTCTTCCTGCTGCTGCTGGTAACTCCTCAGCAATTCCTCATAGAGAATCCGAGGAACTACAGCATCGTCCATACTGTTCATGCCTTCTGTAGCCTCCATAAAAGCCTCCTCAGGGCTGGAAGTATTACTGAGACTCATCCCGTTCTGTTTTTCAAGGCGAGCAACAACTGCTTCAATGCTTTTGTGTGTACCTTCACTTTGTTTCCTCCCATCTTGTCTCTGCACATTACAATAAAAAACAAATAAATTAGGAGAGTCTCAGGAACTGTTAATATGCTTGTCTTCCAAAAGACTAAGACAAAGCCAGACTGCAAAAATATTTTGCCTAACAAGTTCTTATGGATATAATATGAAGCATAACTAACATGAAGTTGTAACTCAGCTAAATGCATGTACAAACTTCTGAGGCAGTTAAAGGCCTTCCTGCATTTGTGCAACACTGACAAAGGCAGTGTATATAGGTCACTTGATTCTGTATCATTAATTTCTTTTTGAAAAAGTTGATCTAGATCTCTTTTTCTTTAAAGTTTACCCTTAACATTCAGATTTCTGACAACAATTGATTTTCTGATAAGCAAGAGAAAGAACAAACTGTGTGCTCCATTTGTCACCTGTGACGACATCAGAGGTGAAAGCAGCACAGGCACAAAGCTGTTCTGTGAACTGAGGGCTTGTCCTTCCCACACTTTGGGAGACAAAACCTTCACTGACTATCCCTACAGCAGGTTCACCCAACTGCCTGATGCAAGTGACTGAGTTAACACTATCAGCAAACACTAAAAGGGATCTGAAAACACCGAAGCTGGAGACAGAATATATCATCCAGCCTCATCTTCCTTATCAACTGATTCCTTCTATATTAGTACTGCATTGCAGAGGCTTCAGGACCTGGGAACTCTCAGTGGAATTTTACCTTCAGTCACCTGCACAAACCCTACAAATTAAATCACACCACTTTCCTGGGGTCTGGATAGTGGGATTAATATGTACAGGTAAAATCACTAAGTTTTACTGGCCAAATAAGAAAAGGCATTTGAATTTCCAAGCAACTGCAAGGAAAGCAAATGCAGCTCATAGAGTAGTGGTGAGAAGCTGACACTATCTAATTCCCATACCACAATATCCATGAGTAATGTGACAGAAAACAAAATTATTTGATGTTACACATGCTGCATTTGTGCTCTAAAAAAAAAAAAAAAAAACAATTAAAAAAAAAAGCTGGCCCACTACATGGAAATTAACTATTATCACTCCTGCAGCTGCAAAACACATGAAGCCATAAAGTAGTATCTTATTCTGAAGGTTGGCAGACTTTTAAAGAAATAGTTTGATATCAAAAAATAAATATATTTCCATAGTGGGTTTCTGGCATTTGAACCTAAAAAGGCAACTGGGAGTTATAATGGAGGGTACAGTCCTGTCAATTCTTCTTCTCAGTCACAGCTGTAGTTGGACAGTCTCAGAGCACCCCTCCCAGTTCCAAACAAGCAGTGAGCAGTATGTCACAGGTGCCACCAAAAACTGGTACAGTGGGGTACTGGTGATTTTTAAGGCATTCTGAGCCAAAGTGGAAGAGCATTGTTACATCAGTCCCAGGTGGCAGTTGCACTGCGCAGACACTATGCACAGGAAAACGTTTGATTGCACTTAAATCAGGTTTTGAAAACCCATACCCCTCCCCCACACACAATGTGACCCAATTTCACCAAACACACTGTTTTAAGGGGATCAAAAGCAAGCATGGAATTCTTAAGCTAGGACATTTATACATGCTCCAAGCACTGACAAAAAAGATAAAAAAAGGTGAGGAGGGAAAATAAACCAGAAAGGCTTCAGTACCTTACTGTGTCTAAGCTCCACATCTTCTTCCCCATAATCTGCAACTTCCCCAGCTTCTTCTACGTGATTGAGAGAGAGTTTGGGGATTTTAATTTTCTTCTGCATCACACTGTTCTCAAGGTCAGTTTTGTCCTCTAAAATGTATATTAAAAATAAGGTTTTGTTAAATTAATCAATGTTCTTACTTCAAAATACTACATGACTTAAGCAAGACCAGTTACAAAAACCCAACCTCCCATCCTCCAATCCCCTCATAATACCACGATCAAATTAGTCCATGGTGTAAATCCACTGATGCCCACTGACAATTCTAGAGTTTCAAATGGGGATCAGTCTGGCCCAACACACGAATAAATACAGAAAAATGCCAAGCTAAATTCAAGCAATCAACAGTGCTGATGAGTGGCTTGTGCTATCTCCAAAGTAAGAGTTAAAGAGGCTGTAAATAAAACTTCCTGTATTGCTCTAAATTATGTTTACCAATGGTATTTTCATATTCATAATCCATTGCTGTAGTTGAAACTATCCTTAAAGTGAAAATAAACTTCGTAATTCATCCCCTACTCTAACCATCATCTGTCAGCAGCACAGATCTATTTGCACACATGGCAGATTCTGCTGTTCTGCAAAGTGCAGGGCTGGAAAAGGGAATGTTGCTGGAGAGCTTCAAAGTGCATTACATAAACGTTGCATAAGAACCAAATCTGTAACAAAATTACTCCACAACCCTATTTCACTAATTAATGGCATTCATCTTTTTCCTTTAGATACTATTGGCAACGGCAATAAATATTTATATGAATCTTTGAATCTCATGAAAAATTTGACATAATTTTTTGACATATCTCAAAATTAGGTATTTAAAAATATTAATCTGAAAATACATTCAAAATATTTTAATATTCCTGAAAAGGTAGGGAGGGGACAGTGAACCAAGAGTACAGTCTCCCAAAACGTGCCTGTGATAGGTCAAATTCTTGCAGAACAGACAAGGTCTGAAAAGATTCATTTCCTCCTGGCAGTGTCAAGGAGAATTGCATTTAAACCATCAAGCATTGCCTTCATACACTGAAAGCTTATAAACAAGAAAATATTTTGAGTCTTCTTATCCACCTGCAAATTTTATTCTGCAGCATGTCCCATGAATATTTTTGAAAGTGCCAAGGAGGATGGCCCCCATGAGTGCTTAGTTGCATTGACTTTTGCTTTCTCAAATTAGCATCTCTCCACAGGACCTCAAAATGGTTCATGTTGACAGTGCAGGAAAGGGAAACAAAGGTAAATCACTGTTTAATGAGGAGCAAGGCATTCATTAGAAATGAATTACACAGATGAATGCAATTCATTTTGTTACAGATAGAAATGGATCTCTTGTAGGCAAATGGTGATATTACAGCCCAAGGCTATGTAAAAAGAATAGGCAAAGAACATGCAGAATGAGACATTAGACAACCTGAAATGAAACGCAGATGGTAGCAATAAATACTAAGACAGATGCAAAAAGAAACAGATAAACAACAAAAAACAGCTAGGCTTATTTTAGATCATTCTCCATTCCCCAGAGCATCGTGTATGCTTATCCCAGTAAAACAAAAAGGCAATCCAACTGTTTCAGTTTTGAAAAATAAACCCCTATGTTTTCATTTATCTGGAAAATGTAGGTTCATCAGTAAAGTGAGATAAGCCAATTCTAATGCCAGAGAGATGAGAAGAAAATATGGGAGCCTTTCCCAAAAAAACAAATAATACAAACTTCCAGACTAAAGGGTGGACTGATGGGTATTGGTATTTTCTTGGAATTTAAGAATAAATGAATCCATATTGAAAAGGGTAAAAAAAGAAAACCACCAACATTTTCTGTGTTTATATATTTTGGGGGATTGGATAGATTGAGGAATCCTTTATAAAATATGTTCTCTCAATTCCTTGGAGGAAGAACAGCACATGGATACAGCAGAGCCAGCTTCTCCAGACGGCTTTGTCAAACCATCTTCTATAGGACATGCAGACGACCTCCTTCTTCATTGAAAGAATTCAGGCCAGTTTCTGTCCTCTGAAAGAACCCTTGGCCTCACAACCAAATGGACACAATCCCTTACTTGACACAGTTAACAAATTTGTCTGCTGACAACTCATTGAGGCCACCAGAAGCCAGAACCACACACCAAGTGGACAGGACACAAGCCATCCTCCCCATGGCAGGGAAAAGTGACTCTTGAAACAATCAAGGACAGGGGGCACAGCAGTGTAAGTGCCTGTGCAGACTACAGAAGTCAGCAAATACTTTCCAGTGAACAAAACAACACTAAACCAGAAACAATTTGGAAGAACAATAATAATTTTGGCTTTTTAAGTCAATTCATAATGGTTAATAACACATTCTATGCATTTAACAATGAAAATGAAACAAAATACTTAGTTTGGGGTCAAAGAGAACAAATGCAAATTGTCAGAATTCTTCATTCTCTTCACTCTCCACTCAGTTTCAGTTTGCCTATGAAATTTATGTTTGCAAAACTTTACTGGTTTAAAGTTTGTTTATACATCTCCTTACAAATGTTTCATTTGTACATTGCTGGCATGTAACTATCAACACAGTTCTCTTTCTGTTCATTTGACTTTTTAGTTTTACTGCTTATCTGTACATGAACCAGTAAGATGAAAAGAGGAACTGTTTTCTCCACACACAAAATTTGAAGAAACAATGAGTTTAAATAAGTTAAAGCTCAGGAACTTTCAACGCACTCAGTAAGCAAATAAATGTTCCTCTGACTTCCAAAAACAACACACATAATATTTTTTTACATATGCTCTGGTCTTTGAAAGCTTATTTATACCTAACACAATCCATCCAGTGTGTTGAATATGAAAAGGCCTTTTGTTCTTTTTCTTTTTTTTTAAAGTGCATTTCTAACCTCTGTTGTCTTCTGCATTAGCTGCAGATACAGCCAGAAAAATCTCATTCTGAATTTGAGATTAATGTTGGAGTTCTGGCTCTTGTTCTGTAAATATTAATGGAATTTGGGAAGGGTGGGAGGGAGAGAGTGGAGACTGGGGGAAGGGTAGGAGAGACATGAACATGCATTTATAGCAGTTCTCCTTAGGATTCTCTGTCTGTTGTTGTGGCAGCAAACAAAAGACAGGTACAAAAGCAGAATCCAGCAAAAACCAACACACCTGTGATTTTGAGCCAGAAGAAAACCAGGATAGGAACCAAATATATGTACAAGCTGCAATTCAGTGCCTGAGGCTACAAAAGAGAGAGAAGGGCAGCCTAAAAGCATTGTAGCTCAGAGCCTCATTTTGTAATAACCTAAATAATTTGTCTGGACTTTGTCCCCAGTCATTTAAACCTTGCTAGAAGTTAAAAATTACACCTTCCCCTAGGTGGCCATGATCAGCTTGTTATAAAGTTGTGTCTATTGTTTTCCCTAGATATGCATTGAGTGGTTCAGTGATATCAATTACTAAGAACTAGCACTTAACATACTTAATTAGGCACTCGTAACAAAATATGCAGGGTGGAATGCACGATATGAGAATGGATTCCCTCTGTTCTTTAGGAAGGGACAATCTGAAAGGCGCATATAAATTAGGAAACATTGCTTTTGTTCACAGAGAACCTGGTATTCTGTGATTCAAGATAAAGAGTAAAGCATGCTGAAATAACCATACTCCAAGAAAAGGTCAGACTTGGAGAGATCTTGGCAGTCAACTCCTCACGGTACTGAGGCACAGGGCTCAAGAGCCAGGGATGACAGCATCCCTCCCCATCCAGGCTTCTCCCGAAGCTGAACCAGCAGTCAGGAAAAAGTCAACTGCTGAGGAATTCCAGAGTGCCTAGGAACACGTCTGGCCTCAGCAGTGCTCAAAGACAGCAAAGCCAAAAAAGCAATCCTGCATTAGAAAATCTCTATCAACTAGCAAAGGATAAATTGTTCCTGGAATGCTTTCTTCAATGAGGCCCTCATTTCAGTGTCAGATTGGTGGATCCAGGTCTAAAGGTAACAGCTTAAACTCCAGAGGGGAAGGGAACTGAGGCAGAGAAAGCAACTTTAACAGGGCAGGGAGTTGGTTAGATCCAAGGAGAAATATGTTAGTGCTCTAAAACAGAAAATCCTATTGTGGGATGTAAAATAAAACTATGAAAATCTCAAAGCCCCCTTAAAGGGTTCCTTACTTTCTAATTTAGAAATAAGGACTGAAAAAACTAATCCCTTCAAAAAAGAGTTCAAATGCTGATTTTTTTCCATCTTTGGAATAAAAGCTGGAAAAATAAAGGAAGAGAGCGCTGCACTCCAAATGGATGAGGGACGGCAGGTCTGGTATCAGTCCAAAGAAGGGGCTTGGCAATGCCATAAATCTTACAGTAATAAAATGAAAGAACCTTGAACAGAATTCGTCCTTCCCCTAAGCCTTCAAAAAAATTCCACTCCTTTTGAAAAATGATATGCTGACAGATGAAAAAACTTACCATCAGCCTTCCCATTTCCAGGCATGTACCCAGCACATATGGACAACACCTGCATAAGATTCCCCACACACTGCTGCACTGAACTGGTTTGGTACTGACTCAGCCAGGTTCCTTCTACAGAGAAGGTAAGATCACCTGCCTGGGCAGCCTGTGCCCTGGTTACAGACAAGGAAAAGCAAAAGATGCAGAAGAACCAAAGCAAACACACCAAGCACAAACAGGGCATGGATTCCTAAGTGCCACTTACACACAAATAAACAATATTCAGTAGTGCTGTGACTGGGAAGGAAAACAGCATGATAATAATAATAATTTTTAAAAAGCCACCTAGCTTATTTAAAGCTTGAAAAAAAAAAAAAGAACTATAAATTACTTTCTTAGCTAATTTATTGCAAACATTAAAGGAGGACTTGGAGAGGAAGACAAGATGAGATTTCAGGAAATGTAATGATCCTGCAGGCTCAGAAAGATATTCAGGATACAAGGCAAAAAGAAATGTGCCTCATATAAAACATCTCTGAGCTAGGAGTACACAGAGATTACAACCACTACCAAAGAAGAAACTGAGAATGACAGTAACAAACACAGGCCAACAGACAGCAGCAGAAATGCAGAAGTTATTTGAAGAGGACAGGTGCCATCAAAATGAATGCAGCTAAA